GATCGGTGAAAGAGCCGACAACGAGTGAGTGAGAGAGAGAGAGAGAGAGAGAGAAAGGCGGAATGTCAACCCACCGACACTATAGACATTTTAAATAACAAAAGGGCGACGCCCGACATCCTAATTGCGGCGCCATTTTTCGATACATGCAGCCGTTTAGGACGATGTCCTTTTTATTCTGCGGCACGCGTGTTTCGGACGTGTCTCCCCTTTTCGATTTTCGCGCGTGATCGATTTTTCGACCGTTCCGCCGACTATTTTTGCGATGCGACGCGTCACGACACATCCGTGAAAGCGTCCACCAATGACGGATGCCGTCCGCCACGCATTTTACAATCGTGGTTCCGCTGGAAACGATAAAAGATCGTAATTATTCTTTCACGTTTTTCACTTCTCCCTTTTCTATTTCTCGTTTTTCTTTTTTTGTTGCAGAATTATACGAGAGCGAATTATAAATGTCGCTGGAATTGCACGCCATCTCCATGTATCCTGATAACCAATTAATATCTCTATCGATCGAATATGTTATTATTCGAACGAGCATGATCACTTGACATTTAATCCTGCTGGACTCGTTCTACGAATAAATCCATTAATTACAATTTCGTTTCTCCCGTCGAGGAGAGAATGTTTTCTTTAGATATATGAAACAGCGCAGTTGAAATTTATAAATTTTAGGAGGATAATACCACGCGAACGCGGGATATCTTTCGTTTCATGGTTTCCGTGCGATTTTTGGGGCAGGACACATTTCACGCCGGACAATGGAAGACAAGATTTACAAACAGACCACCCGCATCGCCAGTCGTTCCTGCACTCACACTAATTCGCATCTTCCTTCACTAAATCGCTCTTTTCACTAAACTCGATCTACTCTTTATTGAAAAATCCATTATGACCGAGGTGCGCGAAACGAAATATACAATTGATACTCGTATTTCTATTATTTCGCTTTAAATAACGTAACACACGTACATACGTAAATAATAGCTGTAGACTCCTCTCATTTTAATACGGTCAGTGGATGCAGACAATATATAATGTTTTAATTTTGCGATATTTACGAATTTGTTTCGATAAGCGTCGTTTTACAAAGTATATATTTTCTAACGTATTTATAAACGTTGAACTTTATTTTTATTCATTTATATTCGATCTTTTATTTTGAAATTATTCCTATCTTTCATCGCCGTATCTTCGTAGTTTTATTTATACCAATCTAATGCAACATTAATAATCTAAAAATTCCTTCCCTCCAGTCTGTCTCCAATTATTTCTCCATATTTAATTGTTCCTATATTTAGTTAATTAATGTTTTTAGTATTAATCGATAAATCCGGGGAAAATTAGCGCCCGATAACGTTCGTTATTTGAAGACGACTTTGCCTTTTATTCGTTTCCCCTCGGTAACACTTTTTCACTGTTTAACATCGCGTTATCAGACGGAAGGATTACTTCGTAATATATTTGGGTAGTTAAGGACGAACATAGGTAAATCGGCGAAGTACGGCGAACGGAACGAGAAACCATGACAAAATAGTTGCGAATAAGATCACGGAAAATCGTAGCGGTTTTCAGCTCAAACAGCTCGCTCGTTTCCTATTTTACGAAGGAAAGTTTCGAATGATGAATGTAGCGTGTAATGACAGACGTTTAACGATCGTAAAAGTTTCGATTTCGGCTATAAAACGTCATTAGGGGAGAGAGACGTCGAGTTTCATCGAAAGTTTGTCGCCATAAGCTGTTTATTGTTATTCTGCCGAGAGCTATCGTCTGTTCGCGAATTACCCGCAATCACCAGACGCGCTCCTTTATATATACAATTTTCACGGAAAAACTACTTTTCCTCCAAGATTAATTTCACTTCTTCGATCGATACGCGAACTGACAAATTTCATGTAATATCGTTTTTTCATATTTCAATGTCCGACATCGTCTTACTCTCTATATTTATTGGAGTGAAACCTCACTCTAAACGGAGAATTCATTTCAAGTGATAGTGAAAATACTGCCACTTTGAATGGAGTAATGTTTCATTTTTCACAAGAGTGAATAAATTAATTTACATTCTTTAACACGTAAGATATTCTTTTTTATTGCGTTATACTTAAAATATTGTTAATGTTATTGTTTCAAAATCTTCTAAATTACATATCATTTAATCGATTTTATTTCCATTTCTTTTGTATTTGAAAAATTTGCTTGCCATTGACTGGGTTCGAAACACAGAACTTCGGGATATTGAGTTTGCTGCAATTCACACCACCCCAATTCGCCTGGATTAATAAGTAAATTTCGTATTGCCTGTAGTATTGCCGAATCCTACAGAATTCCACCTACATTTTATAATAAAAGTATTATATTATTACGTAAATTAATATTAATTAATATTAAATTAATATTAACGTAATTAATATTATTACATAAATCAGTAAAGTCTCTTAAGTGTTATTAATAATATGTAAAAGAGAGATGGAGTAGCTCTTCAAATATTTTTATTCAAACATACGTTCCGTGACAAATTTTAATAAATTGCAAACCGAAAAAAAGTACACAATAGCCTACGGTTACAGTAAGACTCGATCATTTTGTCACTTATAATTTATTAACCGAGCATTTATTAACCGAGACGCTCCTAGTTAGATTATATTCGATATGAAATGAAAATATTCACTTCACGATACGGAATGAAAAAATTCACTCCATAAGAATAAAAAGTCATTCCAATTCGAGTTACTTGGCTGTCATTCCGTTTTTCCGAGTGAAGATTTCACTCCAAGAAATTTAGAGAGTACGTCTCGCGTGTCCTGTTTTGTCCAACTTAATCGTCCGAGCCTCCCTTGTGTATCAATGCAATTGCAAAAATTCATCAACGTCGAAATTTCAGTTCAGTAGGCGCGCGCCCAGGTACCTATTAGGGAAAAAATCGCGAATCTGCGTACCACGTCGTATCGACGGCGCAATTGTAGTAATTGGCAATTTCCCGGTAAAACGTAACCATTTTGTCAGTGTTTTCGTGGCGCCGTCATTTCGTTCTTTTTGCCACGAGAAATCGCACGTTTAAACCGCAGCTAATGGAGCATTTATTAACCGAGACGCTCCTCCGTAGGACGAATTCGATTAAAGTTCGACGCGATTCGGTTATCAGGAGATACGTCCTCCCGATTTTGCCCTTAGCAACATGTCTGAAAATCTTCGTGACTTTCGTCAAGGGTGACCTCGCGACGAACTGCTCGGACGGATTCGCATACGTGCATTCGTGCGAACGATGACTGCGCAAAAACGCGTTTTGTCATAGCCGCGCGTATACCTTTATTAATTATTACAACGAGCACCAACGCGTGATACACGGACCGTTCAACACGAACTGGCGACCTTCGTTTGGGAGGAAAATACGAATCCGAATTCACTGGAATTCAGAGGGGAGCTGTCCACGTTTCAAAAATTTAAATCGCGCGTCGCGACATATACTGTGCAGAGGTAAAGAGCGATTATTTGTGTATATCATTATTATACCACTGCATCTACACGAGCAATACAATACGGAGGGACGGGCCACTGATAATGGCAAACGTACGAAAAATGATTATTGCGCGAAACGTCCCGCGTTTTGTCGCTATTTCGTTTAAACGATATGAAAACGCGCGGCCAGTACGTTGTAGCTTATTTATTCATTTTTAAATATCGCGTAATTCGATAGTCATAATGACTTGTAAAACAGAATCGAGATTTATACCGCGCACGAGTACACGCCCAAAAAGGAGAGAGAGAAAGAACAATGGCGAATATTATTTCGTTCTCTTTTGGAAAAGCCTGTAGCTCAAATTACACGCCCCGATAATCGTCAATCGATTCCCCATTAGTGCCCCAATCGTCGGCGCTATACACTGCGGGATAACATTTGAATATTTTGGTCGGCGCGTATCCGCCAATGTTTTTTCCGCGACTTCGTGCTTCCGCGCCGTGTGACCGTTATTAAATCAGGTTATATCAATTCAATTGTCACTTGCACTGACGCAAAATCGGACTGCCCATTTTTTTTATTATTATTATTATCATCACCATTATTATTATTATTATTATTATCGTCATCATTATTACTATTGTTGTCGGTTTGAACCGCGATGAAATGTTGCGGTATATTATGGAGCGTAAAAAGCGAGATATTCGCAAATTTTCCAAAGAAATTTAATCTCTTCAACGATACTGGCACAAATGCGTGTATATACGCGCTCGAAGGCAGTTAGTTTTTCTTCTGTTTCGAACGTTATCGGCAGAAAATTAACGAACATTATCGCGGAATTCATCGCGAAATTGTCCGATTAGAAAAAGAGAAATCTCATCGTGTAATTGGCGGATATATTTACGTCATTTTTCCTTTGGACTTTGATAAACTCACCTTTAAAGTGGTTAAGCGATATAAAGCACGGATTTTGTGTATTTACTTCCACATCGAAGATTTGGGAAAAATTAATTTGCCTTCTTTCTTTGCCTGTCATACTTTTATGCCCCTGTTATATTTAACAGGCGATATCCGCAAAATGCTGCACGAAAACGAGATGAACGGTGGTTATTTTCATTTCTGTATAGACACGATATTATAGATACGATATATAAATTCGCTTTCACCGATATTGATTTTTCCAAATGAGAAGACAAGTGGATAAAATCGATATGCCACAAAAGTGTTAAATGTCGTTAAAATGTTAAATGCCGAGGAAAACATTGTAAAACTGTCTCCTATCGATGATTTCTCCTAAATATATTGCCTCTGTACTCTCGCTCGCTGCAAAAAGCCTTAAAAAAAAGAAAAAATGTAACATGTCACCTTTATTCACTTGCTTCTCTCGTTAATCGTGATTAGCGCGATTTTAATGAACCATAGGTTAAGAAAAATCTTACATGTAATACATTGCAATGCATTAATGATATGTTTATTGTAGATTAAATATCGATCGCTCTTGTCTAAAATCAATAATTATCTCTCTCTTATGTTTCAGGGACTACTACTATGACAGGTGAATGTCTCGAACTTTCCTTCGATGATCAGGTATAATCAGTATCGTAACATTAATTTGTCATTTCGCGTCACCACACACATGGGACGCGATCGACGTTGAAAATATACACGCGACGGCCCGAAGCAGTGCTCGATAAATTAACAACGGACAGCAAGTGCGGGACGTCTATTAACCTTTCCGCAGCGGTGTGCTTTAATCGTCCGCTTAGTGCAGGGCGATGTTCACGTGTCAGTTGCGCGGACGAGATAGCAAAACCGAAAGGTAGAGATTAAAATAGAAGAAATATCGATTATTTAAATGTCATAGCATAGCACAGTAGCTATGAACTATTCACATGTGAATAAAATTGGAACAAATCAGGAGGGAGCATAATGTTAACCTATTGCATTTCTGGCATAAAAAGTACATTACAAAAATCAATTCTGCCAAGTTTCAATAAACCGTGATATTTATTATTCTTTTTCTATATAAATAGAGAAAACACGATAATAGAAAAGGTTACATGTATTGCTTTTGTAACTTTTCCCGTAGAATCTGTTGGCTTAATCGGTTTTCTTCTACAATCAATATTTAATAATTTGTTTGCAACCACTTGTTGCAAAGTTGATTTTTGTAATATGCTATTTATATCAGAAATATTTTTTCACGCTTCGGTTCTACTTCTATAATAATTATTTTTTTGCTAACCTTAGTGTTCTAACTAAGAGATTTAATAAGTTAAAGGACGGAAAGTTACTCGTAAAAGCTGTTTTATACTATCGTTTTTTTTTTCACTTAAGCGATATCTTTGTGTTGTGAATACAAGTAAAATATAAAAACAGCATAAATGAATAAGATTGTACAGATAAAAATTTCTAAACCGAATGATTCACACATCCAAGTTTGAATAATCGGATAATGATCGGACATTTCAAAGAGAATTCAGATATTCAATTGTATCCCCGAAATTTTAGACAGCCACAAACGATAGTACGTAACCGTCCTTACCTTCTCTGTTGAAAATCAGTGCAATTTACGTCTACATGCATGCAATAGTGATACACTTTGCGAATGTCGAAATTAGACACTAACCATTCAGCGTGGAAAAAACTCGCCGAAGTCCACCGACGAAACTCGTCGCTGCATTCAGAACTACGTCCTCACCACATCCGGAACTTCGCCCAGCCTCCGACCGGCGTTGTCCCGCGTCATCCCACGTAGATTGCACCTCATTCCTCACATGCATGCACCTCACTCGCGACGCGATTAATATTCACGTTTTAACGCCTTGTTTAACGCCGTGACGAATAACTCGACAACATCAATGAGAAATATTACAATTGCATTTTTAGGCCAAAGAGGAGAGACATATCTGTACAGCAATTCATGCATACATTTATACTTATTTAATATTTTCTCTATCGCGACGAATAAATAAAAAATTAAATTAAATTATGAATTACATTACGCAATTAAGATCATTAAATAAAAAATTAAAATCTTCTCGGGACAAAAAAAAGGTACAAATCGTTCTTCTGTAAAATTACGATTTTGCAATTGCGACATTTCTCATCGATGCCGTCGATTTATCGCGAAACGGAATCGACGAGTTCGTTTAACGAGCGTCTATCGCGATACGACAAATTTCCGACCTTCCTTAATTCCAACACTCTTGTCTCACAAAATGTCCGTAGATAAACATTCGCGAGCCGAAGACCGTCGAAGATGTCTCGCTGGCACTCTCGTTCCGCTGGAAAAACGCGCGCGCGACAATAATATTTCATCGGATTTAATCGCGTTACATCGGAATGTTTTAATTCACTTGCGCGAGTCTCGTGCGAAATCGATAATGCGCAAACCGCGAATTATGGTCCGCGAGAGATACGATCGCCGCGTGCGTGATGAGAAAAAATTGCGCGAACTGAAGGTTGATCTCGCGCCGGCCGCAAAAAAACCGTCAACGTGGGGCGTACGCGGAAAATAATCGCGGATGGCGCGAAATTCTCACGCGCGACGGCTTCGCCGTGCGCGCAGCTCGACGAAGATTATTTCGCGATATATATACACACACACACACACACACACACACACCTGAAGATCACTGTATAATACTCCGGCGAAGTCTCGAAGATTGCGCACGCCGCAATACTTATGCGGAGACAACTGCGCGATATTCTCGCAAAGAGGCCACCTCCGGGAAATTTTCATCACCTTCGGAACATCCCCGCGAATTTAAACTTAACGAACGCGCGCGATCCGGCGGAACGTAACCGCGTGACGCGAGCGTAAATACGACGTAAAAAATTGTGCGAAAGCAAGAACCGTGAGGGCAATCGACGAATTTATCAACGCGCTCGTACGCGAGCGAAATAAAATCGCGGCCGTATCGCGAAATTTATATCTCGGCGGCGAGCGTGACGCGGATGTACGTTGCATAAAAAAATCGGAGATTAATAATCGTAACAACGATCGCTAAATCTATTAACGCGCACGCGAGCAAAATGATCGCGCGACTGCCTGCGATGTGAAATTCCTACGCGCGTTCGGCGCAACGTAATCCGCGACGCGAGCGTGCGAGCGCGACAATAAACAAATCGCGAATACTGAAAAATCGCGGCGATCGTCGAATTTATTGAACGCGCGCCTCGAATTATACAGATTGCGAAATTATCGGGCAATAATTTGTAAAGTACGTACGCAGTATTTACGTATGTACATTACGGATTTATAAATAATCCGCATTTTATAACTGCACTCTCGCACCCTTGTATAATTCGTTAATTACAATCCGGTATATGGAACGCCTTTTTATTTTTTTAAATGAAACATGGAGCCGAGATCTTCACTAATCGTTTTCGTCAACTTGTTTGCTAACGGAATGATATGAGACGTTTCTCCTACGTATCGGAACAACCGTGTGCTTACGTGTTATATTTGCGAAATAAAATTACTTTCTCCGTTCCACCTCCTGGTCAGTATTGTAATTGTCAAATTACACATCAGAGAAAATGCAAGAACGAAGTTATAAAATAAGGATTACCTACAAATTTGCTTACATAATACTTGTAAATATTTGCAACAGTTTTAAAAATATATCAGTGCTCTCCGAAATGCAACCAAAAAATTATTGAAGCCGATTATTACGCACGAGCAAGAAATAATCGCGAAATTATCGCGAAATTTATTTGCTTCTCTGCGAGTGAGAGGACCGAAAGACTACAGACGATCGATTAACACGAGCGAGATTACTGTGAGTTTCACGTGCGGCGGCGCGATTTCGACGCACGATTGCTTCGCGACGTATTATGCGAAATTAAAAAGTCGAATCTCATATTTGTGCTGTCGTGAAAAAAATTGAACCGTTGATCGAAATTGATCGGTTATAGCGCGTCGTAACAACAATCTCAAGGACTACAATGCTTTATCGATCATTACAACGATCAAGTCCTTTTATTTTCCCTCAACTTTATTTAAAACATCCGACTTCTTTGCGAGATATTTTCCGGCATAATTGTACGACAAAAAGAAATACTCTACGCGAATGTAATTTCTATGTAAAAAAAACGCGCGACAACTTTGCAAAGTTTTTGCCTTTATGATTATACAACAGAGCGCTTTATATAAAAGTAATTTCTATGTAAAGCGTAGCAGTAATAGACTTCGTACTAATTATACCCTTGCTTTATAATTCACTCGATAATACAATTGACCATTTAATATCAAATATTTTCAAGATATCGTTATTTTTATATCATTGTAACGCGATAACATTATACGATTAAATGCACGCGCAAATATTATAGGATTTATAAAAATTTTGAAACATCACTCAAATGGAAGAGACGTGAAAATTTGTATCAAATATCGAATCTTTCGTTTATCAACGCGAAAAAGAGACACGATTTATACCGTGCTCGCTCAACGGTTCGTATTTACACACATAAAAATAATAAATAGGCAGAAAAATAAATAACTGAAAATCAGATCAAACAATGTAAATTGCACTAATTCTCGCGGAAGGAGAATCCACCGCCTTAAACCCTTCCCCGGGGAAAAGAGGACTCACTCCTTGGAATTTTTGCCTATTTCTCACTCACCGATGGAGCCACGTGGAATTCAGGGTCGGCCACGTTTCCCTACGGCCAGATCTGGAACAAAGAATACAGTTTTGCTGGTTAGAATTAGGGATTCGGCTTAACGAACAAGCTCGCATAGATACCGGTGGATTAGCCCTTCACGGTCGTAATTCGAGTCTCGTTCTGACGGCTGTATCTCGTCTTTCGACCGCAGAGGGAAGGAACAGGGGGCGGGGGGTTAAACAGAGGGAATGTAGAGGTAGTCGGTGAAATGTACCTTCCAGCCGACCTCGCTCGGCCCGAACCGGATCCTCCGGTGCTGCATCTGCATCCGCCGGAACTGCATCCGTCGTGGGTACCTCCGCCAGTTCTGCTTCTGCCAGATCTGCAAAAATGAAATCGCAGGTGTTCTCGGTTAGTCACTCCTCGGCTCACCGCTCCTCGCGAAGCGAGAGAATAATACGAAGGTTCGACGACCGCGCGATCTCGATCTTTTTGCAACATTAGTCGAAACGAGCTGTGGTGTTTGTCCTTTAAATCACAGGGATTTGATGTTGGAACGATGCTCACGGTGATTCCGGTATGAAACGCACAACGCGACAAAACTCTCTAAATTTCTTGGAGCAAAACCTTGCTCGAAAGTCAGAACGATCGAGTCACACGAATTCGAGAGATTGTTCAGTCATATGGAGCGAATTCTTCACTGTGAATTGCCAAGTGAATAATTTTACTTGAAATTCAAGGGTAAATTTGAAATGTACTCCGCGTGACAGGAACATGTTCACTCTAATCGATTGAAATATTTGCTGATACGGAGTCGAAATCCACTCCAAGCTTGAGTGAGACATTCACTCTTGTGATTTAGAGTAGCAGTGTTTTCATTATTGCTTCCAGTGAAAATACTGCTATTTTTCGCTTGTATTGGGCGAGATTCCACTCCAA